AAGCCAAGGGCGACAGTCAATCAGATGGCACAGCCTCCGAAGCTAAGCCAGCGAAGAACGACACCCAACCTCGCGCCAAATTCCTTCGCCTTCATCAGGGAGGGCGGGAGACACTCGGCCAGATGACGGAGTATGTGTCGAAGCTGTTGCGGCGTCAGCATCGGACACACTGCTTCACGGTCTTTGTGTACAAAGGCCAGGCTCGCATCATTCGTTGGGACCGTGCAGGTGCCATCGTCTCGGCTCCGTTTAACTTCGCAGAGGTCCCGAGAACATTCCACCAACTCATCTGGCGATACGCGTGCATGAACCAAGTGCAGCGTGGGTTCGACCCTACAGTCGTTCTGGCGACTGAGGAGGAGATCGCGGCCATGAAGGACTGCCCAGCCCCCAGCGATTGGGCTGATCGATATCGCAATGGCGCGGTAGGACAGCGCGGTTGGCCTATGTACAAGATCACGTTGCGACGCGAGGACCTTGTCGACGAAGCAGAGCTCCAGCCGATTGCCGCTAATATGGAACCATCCCAATGCACCTCGGCGCCAGTTGATACTACGCCCACCTTCATAATCGGAAAAGTATACTTCGCCAGCGATTCTGTGGTCGGGCGAGGCACGAAGTGTTATATCGCGTACGAAGTATCTCGCAACCGCCTAGTCTTTCTCAAGGACTATTGGCGCCCTACCGCCGACACCCTGCTGTCTGAGGGCGACGTTCTCATCAAGTTACGAACCGGTGGCGTCCAGTTTGTGCCCACGCCGGTGGCGAGCGGTGACGTTTATAGCGACGTCGCTTCACCTCCGCAAACCTCGTGTACGCAATCCCGGCTTCCTAAAGACACCCACACCTCGTTGGATCATATCCCATTAACGCACAACCGTTTGGTCTCGAAAGAGATCGGCTACCCGCTAGAAGACCATGAAGATGGATATGATCTCGTCCTTGCCCTTCTCTATGCCTTGCGGGGTGCGTATATATTGCTTTGCGTGACCAATGACTCTAATCAGTACATATGATAGCACATGCGAAGGCTTGGAAAGAGCAGAAGACCATTCACCGCGACGTCAGCGAGTTGAATGTTGTCCTATGGTCGTATATCGACGTCATGGGAGTCAAACAGACTATCGGCCTGTTGATCGACTGGGATCTATCCAAGCAAGCGGAATTCCTCGCGCTGATAACTCGCCCTGGTCGTTCTGTAAGTCAATCATCTGACAGTATTTGTAACTGTGCTTACTATGATCCTTTAGGGGACTTGGCCGTTTATGTCAGCCCGGCTTCTCCGCTACCCTAAGAAGAAGCACGAGGCTACTGACGACATCGAATCGATCATCCACCTCCTCCAATGGATGTGTTTCCGGTTCTATCGACACACAATTACGGGTGCTACCCAGCTCAGGAATCGCATTATCGCCGTTTTTGAGGGCCACGACCGGCAAGCGGGGCAAAAAAGCGACCTCGGAGGTGATGACAAGTACACTCACATCAGAAGTGGCACCCCGGCGGTGATGCTATTGGACCAGGAAACCCCGCTTGCCAAGCTCTTGCGCGACCTTGCCGTGATTCTGCAGCAACACTATCTCGCCGTCGAGCCGCAGTGGCAGAGACCCCCGACAACTAAACAGGCGACTTCAACGCGCTCTCGCAAGGCCGCTCCGGACGACGTGCTTCACTTTGTTGAGTCGCTGCCGAAGCAGCCTTCGATACTGCCGGCAGTGCCTTCAGTACCCGCAGAACTCATGACCTACGACAAGGTCTTTGCGGCATTTGCCAGCGCCGTTAGGGATCCTGAAGCTTGGGACGCAGTACAGAAAACAGAAGACCAATTTGCATGCTTCAAAGCGTCGGCTGTGGTCCAGCGCAGTATGGATCGGTCGGAATACTTATCCTCAGGGTCGAAACGCGCGTCGGAGGAAGACCTGGAATTGGTGGACCAGGAACGTGCGGGTCGGGTGAAGCGAACCAGGAGTGGGACGACAGGACTCACGTCGGCGAACGAGGACTTGGAACTGCCACCCGGGGCTGGGGAGGTCGACTGAGCTACACTGGCGTCTGGAAGGGATTCGGGCCTCACCTCCTGTCTACCTTCATATCGTCCCATCCTTGCCATAGCTGCTGCCAGGCCCTTACTTTCCACGATCCGTAGGGTGTGCATAATACACGGTTTTAAACTAGCCCGTTAGCCACTCACCCATAGATGTCTGTGTATAATTTCAATTGCGAATGTATTCGTCTAATCACCCAAGACATATAGACCGTCTCTCCCTCTACATACGTCTTCTACATGCCCGTCTGCCTCGGGTAGGAATGTGCCGCGGCGGAGAGATGGCAGTCAGTCTTCAGAGCTTTGTATGTGCCTGCTTTTATTGTTGCGACCGGTCCTGAGTCCTAATCAATACCCGTGGAGGCATGGTGCGGTAGACTGCCTCGTGTTGTCGAGCCTGCTTGCCTATATAGAGCAAAAATTGCGTGGAAGGAAGCGAAAGCGGAGAGTCGATTGCTGAGACAGACGGGTGAGAATACCCTTCGCGACTGTTTCAGGAGCAGAGATTCCCAAGGAGCAGCAAGCGCTAGATTACCTACATAGATGTGCCGTAGAGCGCATCTTCTGAGCAACGTCGCTGAGTACTCACCTACTATTATTCAATGTCGCTCCGGAACAAAGCACAGGTAGCCTGGACCAGTCGATAAACACCAGTCGCTCCGCTGCCCCACAGTTGCGAGCTTCCGACCACTAGCATCCAGCACGTATGGTTACCCGGTTGCTCAAGCGGGTCCCGTGCAGGGGGTCTACATGTGCGTGAGTTGTGACGTCTCATCCTAATGTGTGCCGACCAATAACGTTGACCACAGTTCCTCGTCTAATGTGCACTCCCGACGGCGCGACTGTCACAACTCCTTCTTCCATACAACGGAATATATGACCTACAGGGACCAAGAACCATCAGAGAGATTGGCTCCCGACAAGACCACCCTCAGTCGTTCGTATTCTTGCCCTGGCCTAGAGCTGCGATGTCAATCGTGGCACCAAATACAGTGGCCAATAAACGCGCCTTATCGAGCAGATCGTTGTCTACTTCAGGCAGAACCTCGACTTGCTCCTTGTCTTGCGGAACAACCGTCCACCGGGTAGGCGCATTCTGCACGAACAAGCATACGTCGTCCGGCAGGTACATACCGTGAGCCGCCTTGAATTCCTCGCGTAGCTGAAGCTCCTCTGCGTTCACCGTCAGTCGAGGATGCTATAACCTACGTGAACGTGGTCTCACCGTCGACCATAGAGTTGAGCTGAATGATCATGCTTTTGACGAGCCGCTCCGCATCTTCGCGGTACCGGCGACGACGCGCTAGCTCCAGCAGCAGCAGGTTGAAAGAGTACTCGTAGGACGTATAACGGTGGTGCAGATCCTCGATCGCGATCAAGTGGTCATGCAAGAGGTTGAGGTGTTCCATGCTCTCTGTCTGTACTGCTTCAGTGCGGCACATCGTGTTTTACGAATGAGGTTCCTCACCTCAACTGCCTCTTGCTGTTCAAGCATGTCTGTCATGATACCACCGAGCTCGTCCAGATCGTCCAAGGTCCGCCCTAGCGTCTCGGTATGCTGTTCGATGGCACGTTTGGCCACCAGTAGCTGTTCGCTAAATACTGATGCGTCAGAAATCTCAATGAGACAGAACACAACTTGAGGGCGTACTGAGCGTCCTCTATCGCCTTCATGTTCTGTTCCAATTCTGAAAGGATAGCGGGTAATTCTTCCGTGTCCCTCTTCATTTCTGTGCCGCTATGTCAAGGAGATACGTACCAATTTCAGCAAACGCTACATACCTCGTAGATCCTCCTCGCTCAGCTCTTCACCCGCCTCGTGGTCGTGGAGAATATCGGACATTTGGTCGTAGTGAGCAGCAAGGCTCTCGAGATGCGCTGCCATCTTCGCCTTAGCATCTTCCTGTGCGGTAAAAATGCTGTCAAACAAAGGAAGCGAGGTCTCGGCAGGCATGTCGTCCTCAATTGCTGCAACAGATGCCATGAGGTATTCTGGATGATCCGCCGTGCGCGCGAGCAACGTCTAAGACATACGACTCAGTTCCTCGTATGCGCCCAACTAGGGAATTACTTACGTCTAGTGCACTGCGGTCGCTTTCAACTCTATCCAACATATCCTCTATCGCACGTTCGTCGACGAAGTCTCGCAGAGTCTTCCAGCTGCTCCTGTCGGTCGGCACGCCATTAACACGAGTATTGGCGCAATGCGACACATCCCTCAGTGTAGATGTAGGGCTAGTGCCGGGTTGTGCATCCCTGGTATCTTGTTCTTCATCCAAATCTTGAGGTATGCCAAACGGAGACACGTCGGGGGACGCAGTGGTGTGGAAGGCTGGCGGGACAACTTGGTCTCCTAGTGTCTCAAGGATAGAGTCCAGCGCGTCCGTGCGTTGACTGCGTAGAGTGTCCCATTCCTAAGTCAGAATTCCGCAAGGTGAATTTCCGAGGAGGGCATGAGTCTAGGGTGACATACCTGTGCCGCACTCTCTAACTGCGTCCGTTTCTGCTCTATGATCTTCGCTACGTGCGCGGCCATCTGGCACGAGTACTTGATGTTAGCCAGGCATGCTAGTTCCGGCACCATTACGAACACACCTTCAACTGTTCTACGACGGCGTTCTTGATCCAGTGGACCTTCGCGTCTAAGCTCATGACGTCCACGGCGATTTGGGCGGATGCCGATGAGACCGTACTAGCCCGTAAGCATGAAGCCTCGCCATGTTGTAAAGCCTTCTTGGACTGCAAGACGTGAGAGACGAGATGCGGTTCACCCAGAGGAGACACTGGACTCGTTCCTTGTGCCGGAGACATGGCCGAAGGTGCACACTGGCAAAGAATGGAAACGTCGCGTTGAGTATAGACTCGAAGGAGAAATACGGTCTCAATGGGCGAAGTCAGCTACAACGCGCGACGGTCCGCCCGCCAAAGCAGAGAGGTCGTACGGCAAGGCAAAATATGAGTCGGCCCAGGTTCGAACTGAGGACCTTCTGTGAACGATATGTTAGACAGATGCGATAACCAACTACGCCACCGACCCCGTCGGGACTATGCCTCTAGTCAGCGTTATAGTTAGGGTGCACCAGATTAGGGCAAGCGACGTCGGTCTACGCCACAGCAGTAGGCTGCGCGGTGCCGTTGTACTGCTACCATCTGTCCGACCGCGTATTCAGCACCATGTCGTTGCTGGCACCCATCATTTGTGACAACGGTACTGGGTTCTCGAAAGTTGGGTAGGCCATTACAGTTCCTGCTCTGATCACCTCTGACCTTGCTCCTAGGTTTGCCGGCAACTCTGACCCTTCCTTGTCAGTGGTATGTCCAGTTAAGTGGATGTGTTGATCTCATCCTCCTTCGCAGTGTGTTCCCAACGGCTATTGCAACACGAGGTCCTGTACAACAAGCCTCGCGATCAGGACCGGCCGTACCACCACGACCCGGACACCTCGCGTCCAAGCGCGGGGTTGAGGACCTCGACTTCTTCATCGGCGATGAAGCACTCGCAAACGCGCAGACACCAGGCTATGGCGTGTATTACCCCATTCGCCATGGGCAGATTGAAAACTGGGATCATATGGAACGCTACTGGGAGCAAACGATCTTCAAGTACCTGCGTGCGGAGCCAGAGGACCACTACTTCCTACTGGTGCGTGTCAGACAATCTTGGAAGCTTGACTTATGATATCAATGCGATGCTATATATCGCGCGCACAGACTGAACCTCCACTCAACCCACCTGAGAACCGCGAGCAAACCGCGGAGATCTTCTTCGAGTCCTTTAACATCAAGGGCTTGTACATCGCCGTCCAAGCCGTGCTCGCCCTGGCCGCGTCGTGGACATCCAGCCGCGTCAACGAGCGCACGCTCACAGGCACAGTCATCGACTCCGGTGATGGTGTCACGCACGTCATCCCCTGCGCGGAGGGCTACGTTATCGGCAGCGCGATCAAGCACATCCCCATTGCTGGTCGCGATATCACGCAGTTCGTACTGAACCTGATGCGTGAGCGTGGAGAAATGGCGGCAGTTCCACCTGAGGACCAGCTGAAGGTCGCGGGCAAGGTGAAGGAGAACTTCAGCTATGTCTGCCAGGACATCGTCAGGGAGTTCCGGAAGTTTGATGAGGAACCGTACAAGTACTTCGAGCGGTACGATGGTGAGCACACGGTGACAGGAAGAGTAAGCGCATTTTCCTTATACTTGTCGTGGGATTCACCTTTCGATCTCACGTAGAAATACACGGTGGATGTCGGATACGAACGTTTCCTTGCGCCCGAGATCTTCTTCAACCCTGAGATCTACTCGTCCGACTTCCTTGTCCCGCTCCCAGAGATCGTCGACAACGTTGTGCAACAGTCTCCAATCGACGTCCGGCGTGGTCTGTACAAGGTATGTCAAAGACCGGCCTGCAATGCATCATTGAAGCTCAATCCTGTACACCAGAACATCGTCTTGTCGGGCGGTTCTACTATGTTCCAGCACTTCGGCCAACGTCTGAAGCGGGATATCAAGCAAATAGTCGATCGAAGACTAGATGCCAGCGTGCTCGCCAGTGGTAGCCACGTCAAGGTAAGCATCGTGGTGTTGTATATGCTGACGAAGCCCACTGAACATTGGCGTAGTCGTCTGGTGTAGAAGTGGACGTCATCTCACACAAGCGCCAACGGTTAGTCTTCATCCAGTGTGGTAACATTGCCTTTGACTGACTAGCTGTCAGCTACGCCGTGTGGTTCGGTGGATCCTTGCTCGCGTCCTTGGTAAGTGCGACCATGCGTCTGTGGCGAGCAGCGCTGACCGTTACCACAGCCGGAGTTCTACAACTTCTGCCACACGAAAGCGCAATACGACGAGATCGGCCCGAGCATCTGCAGGCGGTACCAGATCTTCGGCAGCGCGACATAGATGGGAGACCGCGGGGAGGAAGTAATGTAATAATACTGTATGGCTGGGCAGTGCAAATACGACAACTGGACGATCTGATACGACTAACAAAACACGCGGCTTGATGGCATACATGTTTGGTTTGCTTAGCTTGAGCAGCTGCACTGGTATCCGAGCAGGTTCATGTCGCCGATGCCGCAGTATCTCCGTTCTTCCTTCTGTTCGGCGTCCAGTGTTGACCCGTCTTCGTTGTCTTCAGCACCCCATGTGTCGAAGGGGTTGCACGCCATCTGCGAGTGGTGATGGTGAGGAGACTCGTTACAAAGCACATGAATACGGGGGCCTACCTGAAGCACCTTCGCGAGTAGCCTCTTCCCGCCGTCCACATCACGCTCGACATTTCGGATGACCTCCTCTAGAACCCACTGCCTCAAAACGAACCTCGGGTTCGCTCCCCGCATCTCCTGCTTCCTCTCTTCCTCTGCATCCTTTCCCCAGAGCTCACTCTCGCTCTCGACTCGCGCCGTGTACTCGGCGAGCCACGCCTTCCAGTCGTCGAAGGCCTTGGCCATGTCGAGGTTGTGCGGGGTCCCACACTGGCCAATGAGGCGGTCGATGAGCAGGTTACGTTGTGCCTCGTCTGCGGAACAACGGAAGGCGCACAGCGTGCGGAACGTCCCGTGGAAGTCGAGCTTGTGCTCGGCCATGAGGTCTAGGAGCGGCCGGCATAGCTCTGCCTCGTCTGACGCGTCGTAGCGGCGGAGACCCAGGCGCTGTTTCCAGTGACCGAGAGTCCAGGAGCGGAGAACGGATGAAAGGTGGAGAGGCGCACCTTGTGCATCAGGCGGCCATACTCCTGTGCACACGCCTCCTGCGCGACGCGCTCCGTCTCCTCTCTGAGTGACCCCGCACTTCTCTCGCGCCATTCGTCAATCTTGCTCTCGTCGGCCCACCCCAGCGAGACCGCCCGCCCGAGCTCGGCTTCTGCGCCGATTAGGGGGGCGAGGGCGTTCACCAGTTGTCGGAGAGCGAAGATACTGCATGATGATCAGCCTGGAGAACATGTTCGTGAGAGGGCAAACGGACATAGCGTTAGGTTGCCATTTGTATCCGTATCGGCCCTCGCCATCGTCGTGGTTGCATATATGCCACGGGTCGAACATGTCCATAAAAGCGTATGGACCTGGTTCATCAGTTGGTCAGTGCAAGCATGTATGGACGGCAGAGAACCAACCCACCATAGTCGATCGTAATGCCCATGATCGACACGCTTTCAAACTATGTCAATGATATCTGAAGGAACAGCAGGGGGAAGCGTACTTGTCAGTGTTGATCACTCCGTGCATGAACCCAAACGCCTGCCACCCCGCAACCATCTTCCCGTTCCTCCTCGCGCACTCCAGCACTAGCTTCTCGCCCCATTTACTGTCCTCACCCTCCCCGCCCCAGTCCACGCCCTCCAGCCTCAGCACCCGCTTCCCGACCCACTCTCCCAGGATCCTCAGCGCGTCCCAGTCAGGGTCCTGCTGCGACACGCCGGTATGCGGCGGGCTGAGGGCCTCGAACGAGCCGATGCGGACGAACGAGGGCGCGAGGCGCGTGAGGATGCATGCGGTCTCGCTGCGCTCGCGCTGCACGTTGAGCGCGGGAAGCTGCACGAGGGCGAGGGCGCGGCTCGTCGGGATCCCCAGCGCGTGCATCGCCTCGGAGCAGAGGAACTCGCGGATAGAGGAGCGCAGGACGGCGAGACCGTCGGCGAAGCGGGAGAAGGGTGTGCGCCCGGCACCTTTGAGCTGGAGCTCGTAGATGGTGTCTGGCTCGGACGGGTGCGGAGTGGATACTAGTGGTTCAGTGTGTTAGATCGAGTTCGTGCGGCGATGGGAGGAATGAGGACTCACGGATAGAGATCGCCCGACCGTCGCCGAGTTGACCTGCCCATGCTCCGAATTGATGTCCGCTGTACCTCAGTGACCAGGGGGCCCACGTTGCCTCTGGTTCGCCTTCGAGGTTCATGAGGATAGCTTGACCGCCAAGGACGTCTATAAGTTCGTGGCGCACATTGACCGATTCGTCGGACGCAGAGTCCGGTTTCGCGTCGTCGCCATTAGCATCGGACAACGAAGGCGTCCCCAGCGTGCTGAATGCATCTCCGACATCCAGATGGGGTAGGCAGTCCTTCAGCGCAGTCTCGGCCAGCGCGACGAGCACGCGCGGTTCGTCGCGCTTCTCGGCGTAGTATTTCTTCAGCAAGCCTGGTACCGCTGATGCAGCGGGCGGTCTCTCTTGCAGGGCCTCGCGATGGGACAGCCATTTCTCGACGTACGCGACCTTGTCTTCGACAGGGCTCCCGTCCTCCGGCGGCTCTATGCGGAAGGGGAACTGCAGCGGGCACGGCGCGACGTACGAGAAGTGTGCATTGGCTGCAAGCATGCGCGAGCGTCGCTGCACGCTGGGTGCTTCCCTCAGCATCTTGTTGAAGTCAGAGGGTGACGGGACTGCCGGGTCCGGCGTGAGGTTACGAGTGAGGACATGGGTGGAGGGAGGGAGAGGGAGCGCAGAGATCGGGACCGCTTTCGAGCTAGACATTGTCAGTCCTCGTGTGGAACTTGAAGCTGTTCGTGCCGACATCGAGAGAGCAGACGCAAGCATATAGGGACCCTGCTGAGGCGATACCGTGGCTCAGTCAGTCTTCATGCGCTCTTCTGTAAGCAACGGCGACGACCACCTGACTCGATGAGGACATTCAGTCATCATCACGGTCACCATGACTCTAGGATAGCAAGCCCCTCACGTTCAAGCTCGGAGTGGGTCATGGTTGTGAGTAGAGGAGACGGAGGAACTCGGCTAGAGACGTCAAACAACAGCGACCATGATCGGCTTCTGCTGTCGAGATTACGATCCGCGCAAACTCTTCGAGCATGCATATGGACGCAAACATATGGTCTCAAGTGTCTGGGTGGGAGCTGCAATCGTTTGCATCGACAACCTCGGTGAATGCAGCAATAGTGAATGCAGCAATAGTGAATGCAGCAATAGTGAATGCAGCAATAGTGAATGCGTGCAGTACAACAGTAGTGCATGTATATATATCGGGTATTCAGGCTCCGGGGGGTAGCGAATGAGATGAACTTCCTCAGTGCGCGCTGGACGCTATAGACG